GTCAACGCCCACCTCTGGAGCAGGAGCCTCACCGCCTTCGAGCCTGGCAGCTTCAGGGTGAACAAGGTGCCCGCCCACTGCAGCTGGCAGGCGGTGCTCGACGGGCGCCTCACGGAGGCGCAGAGGCGCGGCAACCAGCACGCCGACCGCCTCGCCAAGCTGGGAGCTCGGCTGCACGCTGCCGACGCCCAGACCGTGGGCGAGCACCGTGCCCTGGCTGGTTTCGTCCAGGAGCTGGCCCGGTGGGTGGGCCAGGCGGCCGTCATCTGGCAGGACATCGCGGAGAAGGACAGTGACGGGTTCCTCGAGTCCGACGAGAGGCAGCGGGTGAGGTTCGCCGACCATGAGGAGCGATCCGAGCCTCCCACTGCAGGCAGGCCGACGGCTCAGCAGCCGCGCGTGGAGAGCGCGCGCTCGGTGGCCAGTGCCGTCGGCCTCTCCATCACCACGGCTGGCATCTGCTACCTCGGCCACTCCCTGGCGTACGCTTGCTGCGACGCGGGCGAGGAGCCCCAGGAGCTGGTGGCCTGCAGCAGGCGTGGGGCCTACATGGTCCTCGGCGGCCGCTCTGGAGGCCGCCCAAAGCTCAAGGAGCCATGCATTGGCGAGAGGGCCACTGGGCAGCGCAGCCAGCGCCGCCTCTGGGCCCGAGGGCTGCACCCAGGCGGGCGGCCTCGCGGAGGAGACCAGCAGCGCAGGGAGAAAGGTGCCGAGATCCCCGCGTTGCGGCTGCAGGGCCCCCTGCCCCCATCGGCCCAGGAGGCCTTCCTGGCCTGGCTGGGCCTCGAGGGCGAGGCGGGGCCGCCGCCAGCAGGCGGCAGCGCGGCGGCAGCGCCGGGAGGCGCAGGCGGCCGCGAGCAGGAGGCGTCGGCGCGGCCGACAGCACCTGCGCGGCAGGTGGTGGCGGGCGGCGGCCCGCGGGCCGCCTTGCTGGCCGCGTGCGGCATGGGCGAGCAGGACCTCGCCGAGCGGGTGCTGGCCGCCAACTCCGCCGTGGAGGACCGCCGCGTCCGCCCGCGGCGCGGCCGCGGCCTGAGCCCCGTCGGCGAGGGCTCGGGCGAGTAGCCTCGCCTGGAGTCGCCTTCATGGCCCCGCGAATCGAATCGAATCGACGACGACGACGACGACGACGACGACGACGACGACGACGACGACGACGACGACGACGACGACGACGACGACAACGACGCCGACGCCGACGACGACGAAGACGACGACGACGTCGCCAACGAAGACGACGACGAGGGAGGAGGAAGGACGACGACGGCGACACTGACGACACGACGACAACGACGAGGGAGGAGGAGGACGGCGACGACGCGAACGACGAAGAAGGAGGAAGGACGGCGGCGCCGACGACGACAACGGCGAGGGAAGAGGGAAGACGACGACGACAACGGCGACGACGACGACGGCGACGAAATAAGAGGGACGACGACGAGACGCCGACGACGGACGACGACGACGACGAGGGAGGAGGAGGAAGGACGACCACGGCAATCAACGACGACGGAAACGACCACGACGCCAAAGAGGACGACGACGACGATGAACACGCGGAAAGACAGAGGACGACGTAGGCGACGACGACGACGACGCATGAGGAGGGAGGACGGCGACGACGACGACGACGCAAGAGCGCGCGCGCACGCTTTTGTTGAAAATCCGTGTTGCGAAACCTGGTGTTTTTGTAAGTTTTTTGGACACACGATTTTGAAATCCTTCCGAAACCGATGGGTTTTGAAGGTTTTCGGCATACGCGCGCGACGACGCGCGCGTCTGCACTTCGTCTTGTTTGTTGCAGAGGATTCTCGCGACGGCACACGCGCAAGGGCGTTCAACAGATTTCGACATGCGCGCGCGAAGCGCGTGAAAATCTTGGAACATCTATGGTTTTCTTAAGATTTCGCAAGAGCTCGCGCGGAAGTTTTTTCAGCAAATCAGTGTTGCGAAACCCTGTGGTTTTGTATGTTTGGCGGAAACTCGATTGCGAAATCCTTCCGGTACCGAGGATTTTTGAAGGATTTCGGCATGCGCGCGCGACGACGCGCGCGTGCGCACTTCGTCCCATTTGTTGCCAGGGATTCGCGAACAAAAAGCTATGTCAGAACAAAAATGTCACCGCATAGTTCTTTTTGCAAGGGAACCTCAGGGGGGGGGAACCCGGCCCCCCTGGGATAGTGAAAATTCATATTTCAGATGGACATGTGGTCAAAATCATATATGATTTACATACGCGAAAGGGGGAGTGATAACGCCGGGGGGGGCAGATCCTATTATGTTTTTAGAAAGGAGAATCTACGTGGTGCAACCGACGAAGTGCAATCGATGTGGTGCACTCAGTTGTTGCTCGCAGTGAGTTGTCAATTCCATTGCTCGCGCAATCATCCCTCCCACCCACCCAGAACTTGGTTTGGCAAGCCCATGCTGCGGCGATTGCGACGGTTTCTGGGAACTGGCTGACGCATCGCTGCGGCAGCGCTCGCGTGCGCAGGCTTGCGCGCAGAGCGGTCAGCTAGTCTGGTGCGACCGACGCGGCCGCGGCCGCGGCGGCGCTGACCGCTTTGACGCGTCTCGCAATCCGCGCTGACGCGCGGGCATTTCAGTGCGAGTCGGTGACTCGGGTGGGCGCGGTATCATGGCGACGTCGACAACGACAGACACGCTGATGGCAGTAGCGATGTTGGTGGCGATGATGACGAGAACGACGGCAAAGCCAATGACGGCGCCGATGCTGATCACGGCACGGCGATGACGATGATGGTGTCCAAGTGTCCGTGATGACGGTGTTGGAAGGATTTCGGCATGCGTGCGCGGCCGACGCGCGTGAGTGGCCCGCACTGCATTATTTGACAGGGATCGTGCCCCCCCCACCCCCCAGCAAGTGCGCAAGAGCCTTTGGAGGATTTCGACATGCGCGCGCGAGAGGCCCGCTTGGTCGAACTTGATGCAGATGTCGCAAATTCCAGTGGTTCACTTCAGAATTACCCACAGCGCGCACACATTGTTAGGACAAAAAACCAAGTCGAACAGCCATAGTTCATGTCTCGTGTTTTCGAGAACCACGAGCTTGGACGCCTTACGAAACCGACGGTTTCTGTAATGAGCCCGGCATGGGCGCGCGACGGCGCGCGCGTGCCTGTTTTGTCTTTCGTTTCGCACAATTTTTTCGATTAGACGTAAGAGTGACCTTTCGCCAGAGTGACTTTTGGTGCGGGCACAGATGGGCCCTCATATGGCTGCAAAAGAAGCGGTCGCAGCGGCTTGCGCGCCCAGGTTTGGTCTCCCCGCGGCCCCCCCCAAAAGCCGCACACCAAAGGTCACTCTTAACCAGGATCACTCTTGCGTGCAGCCGATCTTTGCAAATGGGTGGTGTGTGATAAATGAGCGTGCAAGCATACTCCAGATTTCGTAATAAAGGGAGGGGGGTCTCATTTCGAGGGGGGGTCTCTTCCAGGCTATCTTGGAGGGCCTGGGGGGTCTGGGGACGATGTTTTGGAGGGTTCTCCCACGGGGGAGGTCTGAAATGGCCTGTCGTGGAGGGTCCAGACCCCCTTCCTTTTATTACGAAGTCTGGGGTACGTAACAGTCCGCAGGGTACCCTTGCATCCGTGCCTCTCTGGTCCATCCCTGACCATTCTCGATGGCCTGCCGCGCTCGAAAGGCTTCAGCACGGGCGTCCAAGGGGCTCGTACCCTTTTATTACGAAGTCTGGAGTACCGACGAAGCGGCGACGGCAAACACATCGCCGCCAGGCCGACAGCCAGGCCCAGGCGGCCAGCGGCGACGGGGCGGCGACGCCGCGGCGACGCGGCGGCGACGGCGAGCACGGAGCAGCCAGGCCGCCACCCAGGCCCAAGCGACGGGCGGCGACCAGGCAGCGACGCGGCGGCGACGGCGAGCACGGAGCCGCCAGGCCGCCACCCAGGCCCAGTTCTGCAGAGCAGAAGTAATAATCCCTGAGTGCAGACTTTGTTTTGAGAGCGTTTCGCATGGCCCCGCCCGCCGTGAGCGTCTAGGCGCAAGAGCTTTTAGAATAGGAGCGGGCTTGAGTATTGACGGTCTGGTTGTGAATATAGCTGTGAATGAGTTGGAGTGTGAATGAGTCTCAGTAGTATTAGTACGTCTCTGCGCATGATCTTGGGGCCTCTTGGGGCCTCTTGACACCTCCTGGGGCTCCCTGGGGTCTCCTGGAGCCTCCTGGGGCCTCCTGGGGCCTCTTGGGGCTTCTGTGGGCTCCTGAGTTCTCCTGGGGCCTCGCATGGCCTCCTGGGGCCTCCAGGAGCTTCCTGGATCCTCATGGGGCCTCCCGTGGAGGAATCATGCCACAGGACAGGCCCAATCGATAGGAACAGACGTAAAACACTTCGGATTGAAGCCACAGGAGAGGGGCAATCCATAGGAACACGCGTAAAACATTAAGGACTCGTGCCACAGGGGAGGCCCAATATGTAGGAGCCTGTGTAAAACACTGGGCAGTGTATTCGCGGGAAAAGGACACTTCATAGAAACATATGTAAACACAAACGATTCGTACTCCAGGGGAGGCCCAACCTATAGAAACATATGTAAAACGCTGGGGATTGGATCCACTCCTGTGGCCTTCTGAGGCCTCCTGCTCCTGGGGCCTCGTGGGGGCTCCTGGGGCCTTACGGGGCCTCCTGGTGCCTGCTGGCGTTTCCTGTGGCCTCCTGTGGCCTCCTGTGGCCTCTTCGGGCCTCCTCTGGCCTCCTGGTGGTTCCTGTGGCCTTCTAGAGCCTCTTGGGGCCTCCTGGAGCCTCCTGTGGCCTCCCAGGGCCTCCTGTGGCCTCCTGTGGCCTTCTGGTGCTTCCTGGGACCTCATGTGGCCTCCTGGGGCCTCCTGGAGGATCCACGCCCACGAGTCTGGCCAGCAAAACAAGCAAACCGTTCGAGACATCCTCGCAATGTGGGCCACCAGGGGTGCGATAACCAGCGCCTCGCTCGAGACATCCTCCACATCTGCTTCGAAAGCGGTCCGTAGCCATTTTGGCTCAAGTCGCAATTTGGGCTCAAGCACGGTGATCATCACTGTTCCTTGGCTGCTCTTCATTCTCCCTACCTTCTTGTATTTGTGCATACCGACGTTCCTCAGTGATGTGGCGCGTTGTGTTTGCTGCGTTGCTTTTGGGACAATGTGTAGTGGTTTCACAAGCTCTTGCAACAAGGGCAGACAGCCTCCTCGGCAGCAGCACGTTCTTAGACTTGGACCATGTTGAGCGGTTCGAGTCGAGTTTGTCCATGGAATTGGGTGGTACGGCGGAGCTGGAAAGCCAAGACATGTTGGGCACGACTTTGTCCCCCGAAGACCGCGTCAAAGCACATAATCGAAAGTTCGAGGCGGAGTTCGTCGTGGAGTTGAACATGACCGAAGCGCACGAGCGTGGCGCCAAGTTGGGGATCATCATCAACAGGAACGCCGACTTCGAGGCTGCAACGATATACAAAGTGCAGAAAGTTGGTCTGATTGGAGTGGAACAGGGCCCACCCAGGAAAGGACGTGCACGTCGGCGACGAGCTTGTCCAAGTCAACGACATCCAGTGGCACGCGAACACGGAAACGTTCATGAATCGCATCAAGGGTAAATTCATTGCGGGCCGCAAGCAAGTGGCTGGGGCGAGTGATATTTTGAGGCTCTACATCCAAAGGCCAAGGGTTTGGAAGCATAAGCGTTTCGCGTTGCAGCGTCAGGACATGCACGACAAGAAATACGCAGCGGATTTTGTCGCTGAGATTCCTATGGATGGAATCTTGGACGGTATCCCGTACGCAGCGGAGATCGTGGGAAATAACACTCTTACGTCCATGGACTACCTAATGGGTTGGACGCTGGGCTTCCAAAGGAGCAGCGACTGGCAGCCAGCAACGATCCGCAAGATTGAGCGCCATTGCGCCCTGGCCAAGTGGAACAAGAAGAACGCGGACAAGCTGATTCTGGAAGGGGACGAGATCCTCAAGGTCGACAAGGTCATCTGGCAGCACAACTCCACGATCTTCATGAAGAATCTCAAGCGCCACTTCAAGGCTATCCTGGAGGCGAATGCGGGCGACAAATCTTGGTCGGTGGTCCTCACCATTCGAAGGCCGCGGCCGGTCCAGGATGCTTTCGACGAGGCACATCCTGTGCAGGAGATCGTGTCGTGGAGCAGGACGAACACCAGTGTCGCGCTTCGTTTCAATAAGTCAGGTGAGACCAATCTTCTTGGCTGGAAGCTCTCCCCTGGCGCCACATCCGCCACTGGGGTCGAAGGGCCCGTTCTCGTCGAGAAGGTCCGGGGGACGGGCCTGGTGGCCGAGTGGAACGCCGCGAACCCAGACAAGGCGATCAACTCCAGCGACCAGATCGTCACGCTAAACGGCGTGGCGTGGGACAAGTACGCCAGCGCTCAGGATTTCTACGACGCTGTCCAGACCGCGCTCACCACTGCCATCCACGCGGGACCTGCGGGCGACGCTGTCCAGCTCACCCTAGAGAGGCCCGTGCGAAGTGTACAGTACCACCGCCAGAACATAGAGCACGGGGTGCACACGGTGTATTACTTGCACGCCACGACCACACCTGTTCCTGAGGTCGGGACTGACATTGCAGACAAGCAGCTCCGTGCTAAGGACGACTCGGTTGATAACACTGGCGCCACCGGTGTTGATAAGCCAGTCGGTGCAGAGGAGGACTCGGACGGAGTCATCGGTGCCACCGAAGATGATGCTAAAGCAATCAGTGCCGAGGATGACTCCGACGGTGTCATAGGTGCCTCCGAATATGATGATAAGGCAGCCGGTGCCCAGGAAGACTCGGGCGGTGCCATCGGTGCTTCCGATGATGATCCTTAGGCAGGCCTCTTGAGCCGTCTCGTGCGATTTCAAGGCATACAGACAACTAGCATATCGAGAAAGGCGAGCACGTTTACATCCGCCACTGCGCTCGCAGCGGTTGGTGTGTGTGCTTCAGGCCCTTGCTCTGTTCGTCACCTTCTCCAAGCAGTGCTTGCTCTGCGGGGTGCCTACATACTTGTGTTCTGTCTGCTCCGCTCAGATTGCACGAAATCACTGTTTAGGGTCCACGCTGGCCAGCATCGCATTTAACGAAGCAATGAGTATGCAACCCCAACGCATCCAGCCCAACATGCGTTCAGTTTGTTGACCAAGTCAATGCGTTCTTTCTTGCGTGGTCAATACGACCCATACGCTCGGCGGCTGGAAAGAAAGGAGGAGGAGGGCGTGGACGAGTGGAGGGGAGGAGGAGCTGGAGGAGAGGCCTTTGGGGCTCCCTTGGGCGCCTTTGTGCTCTCATGGGGCCTTCTTGGGTTCACAGTGGGGCTGTTCTGGCGCTCTGTGGCTTCCTTCGAAGTCTGGCCAGAGCCTCGTGTTCTTCGCCAGCACTGCCTGGACAGCGCGCGCGTTTTAGTTGAGGCCACTTCGTATCGTCAGTTCTGCGTTCTGACAACCAGTGGGCGCTTCAGGCTGGCGTACTGATTCAGACAGCTTGCCCTGCTATCGGCCGCTGGCGACCGTCGGTTCCGTCGGCTGGGCGTGCCACTTCTGCGGGGCCAGCTGCCGCTGTTCATTTCTGCGCTCAGGAAAAAAATCTGCTTCGAAAGCGGAGGATGTTGGGGGCACAAACAAGCAAACCGCTCGAGACATCCCAACCATTTTGGCGCGAACGGAGGAGTGAGATACCCTGTGGCGGCTCCCCCTTGGGGGCGCCTCGCTCGAGACATCCTTCAAATCTGCTCCGAAAGCGGAGGATGTCGGGGGCACCAACAGGCAAACCGCTCGAGGCATCCCCGCGATTTTGGCGCGAACGGAGGAGTGAGATACCGCCGAGCGGCTCCCCCATCGGGGTGCTGAAACCCGCGCCTCGCTCAAGACATCCTCAGAATCTGCTCCGCCATCATCATCATCATCATCATCATCATCATCATCATCATCATCATCATCATCATCATCATCATCATCATCATCAGCAGCAGCATCATCATCATCAATGAGTGTCAGAAAGAGAGAGCGACTCAGAGTCTGAGTCAGTGCGAGTGCAAGTGCATGTGTGAGTCAAAGTGATGAGATGGTGTGACGGTGTCTGGGTGAGAAAGAGCGAGTCAGACTATGAATGAGTTTGAGTGGTGAGTGTGTCTGGGCGATGAGCGAGTCTAGGTCTGAATGATGGATGTATCTAGGTGATGAGTGAGCCTGAGTGAGAAAGAGCGAGTTAGAGCATGAGTGAGTCTAAGTGATGTGCGAGTCTGAGCGATGAGTGAGGTGTGGGTGTGACTGTCCTTCCGGCGGGGTGAAAGTAATAACAAGAACCTCATCTTAGGATCGGAGGTTGGGGGGTGAGATCGCAGTGGAACGGAGACCGCCAACCAGGAAATCGCTTTGTTTCGTTCGTGTCGTGCGTGCGGGCGAGGCGAAGCTGCGTGGGCGCGCGAAAGGAATGAACCCGCCGTTGCTAGGGCGAAGTCAAGACAAATGTTACTCCTCCGTCCGTCCGTCCGTCTGGCGGTGGCCGGCGGTGTCCCCTGGTGTCCCGTGGTCTCCCGTGGTGTCTTGTGGTGTCCCGTTGAGTGAGATCGATACTGAGATCGATGTGGTGCCCCGAGGTGTCCCGTGGTGTCCCGTGGTGCCCCGTTGGGTCAGACCGATAGTGAGATCGTTAGTGAGATCGACAGGTGTCCCGAGGTGTCCCGTGGTGTCCTGTGGTGTCCCGTGGTGTCCCGTGAAGTGAGATCGATGGTGAGATCGATAGTGAGATCGATAGTGAGAGCGATGTGGTGCCCCGAGGTGTCCTGTGGTATCCCGTGGTGTCCCAAAAAGTGAGATCGATAGTGGTATCGATCGTGAGATCGACAGGTGTCCCGTGGTGTCCCGTTGGGTGAGATCGACAGTGAGATCGACAGTGAGTTCGACAAGTGTCCCGTGGTGTCCCGTGGTGTCCCGTTGAGTGAGATCGATAGTGAGATCGATAGTGAGATCGATACTGAGATCGATATGGTGCCCCGAGGTGTCCCGTGGTGTCCTATGGGGTCCCGTTGAGTGAGATCGATAATATCCCGTGGTGGCCCGTGGTGGCCCGTGGTGTCCCGTTGAGTGAGGTCGATCGTGAAATCAACAAGTGTCCCGTGGTGTCCCGTGGTGTCCCGTGGTGCCCCGTGGTGTCCCGTTGAGTGAGGTCGATCGTGAGATCGATTGAGTCAGATGATGGTTCCCCCGCCTCTCCCCTCCCAAGACCTCCTTATCACCCGAAGGGTGGTCGTGTAGGTAGGGGGACTGAAAACCAGCTCATCCTCAATGGCAAGGCAGCGACATAGCGCCTAAGCCTGGTTAGGGCAGGCTTCCCGCGGTCTCCTTCTGGTTTCAGACCCCCCTGCTGGGAAGGCGGAGCCAGCCAACCTGAAAGTCATTCAGACTTCCCATCTCCATTTCGGGAGCCACGGCTGATGTCGCTTAGCGTGGCCCGCGCACAGCAAAACGCTGTTTTGTCAATCCTCTTGCCCGCCTCCTCGTCCGCAAAAGCTCCCTTCCAACCCCGCTGGCTTGCAGGATCGGCGCGGGGGCTGGGGCGAGACGCGGTAGCAGCAGGCGGGCGCTGCTGCCCTCACCCAGTTGCCGCCGCCGCCGCCGCCTCCCGAAGAGGGGGCAGGATGATAGGGAGTGGGGGTATGTTGGAAGCAGGTCACGTTAGCCAGCTCGAGCGAGTCAGAGCGCGCGCGTACAGTGAGCGGGTTGAATAAGGAACACTTACTTTTCAAAAGGGGCTCGGTCGTCCCTTAGGTTTTACATGTGTTCTTTACAGTTCCATACGCGTTAGAAATCATTTATCGTTCGCGTCATTCCTTGGGATAAAAAGGGGCTTCGTTCCTTATCTATCGTTCCTTAGGTCAGGCCGATGACTGTATTCCCACCCCCCCATCCCACAACACGTGGTCTGTTGTGGCACACTGGGGTTGCAGCGCGCTCCCGCCTCGCAGCCGGCAGGCGCTCGCGCGCGGCCCCGCTTCGGAGGACGTGGGTGGCGAAGGGAAAGCTGCGCGGGCCGCGCAGGGGCGGGAGCGGCGAAGCCTCCGAGGGGCACGGCGAGGCTGAAGGATGCACCGCACTGGCACGCCACGGCCACTTGCGCTCACGAGCCGCGCGGCGCTCGGCGAGGTCGGCGCTTCGCCCGCTCTCGCGCGGCCCCGCCGCCGCTGCCGCTTTTCATGCCATGCGGCGATCGAGCCACGCGCCCGCGCCCGCGCTGGCATGCCACGTCCTCGCGGAATGTGCTCGGAGAGTTCGGGCGAGGGCGACAAGGCGCCCACCTGCGCGAGCCCCCCAAAAAGTCGCAAGGGGGCATGTGCGCCGCGTCGAGGCGGGAGCGCCACTTTCGGCCGAAGTCTGCGCGACCCTGAAGCGGGAACGACATTTTCGCCCTTTCTTGTGTCGACGACGCAGCGTGCGAAAAAGGTTTGCCGCGCCCCAGCGAGAATTCCCTTCTCTAAGGAACTGAGCGCGGCGCCGAGGCGATGACGACATTTGTTTTTTCGAGTGGGCTTTGCGCCGCGTCCCATTCCTGCCGCGAACATTGCAACAGTGGCGACAGAACGTCCATGTTGCGACACGATCAATATACAATGATTCTGCGTTGTTTTTGACAGATCGGGTGCGCCCCCCCTGAACGCGGTTGCCATCGGTTGGATAGGTGGCAGAGTGGGAGTATACACCTACGCGTCAGGAACCACAGTCGGAGGAGGAGGGCGAGGCGGAGGAGGAGGAGGAGGAGGAGGAGGAGGAGGAGGAGGAGGAAGAAGAGGAGGCCGTGCCGTGCCCCCCCCGCCCCCCGCCGCCTGCTCGTCTGCCCCCCTGCCTTGCCTGCCTGCCGCCCTCCCTTCCTCTCCTGGGCCCGGAGGCCGCGTGCAGGTGCTCAAAGCACCCGGCGGCTGTGTAGCTGCTCGTTTCCCTCCTCCTCCTCCTCTTCCTCCTCCTCGTTACAGGGCGTCCTGGCCCGTCGCGTTTCCGACGCACATGGCACCGCGAAAGCGGCCAGGAGCGGCAACGCCACGCTGTTTTCACTCATTTCTACTCTGGCCTGGGTCAGGGGCCGCGGCTCGCAGGTCCGGATTTGTACAGCATCACACACCACGAGACGGCCGTTGACGTTGCTGCTTCCTTGGCAAGGTGCCTGTTTCCTGCTCGTGGCTTCGGCTGTGCTCCGCACGACCACGTTTTAAGAAATAAGGGACTCACTTGGACATGTTTTTTTGGAACAAGTCTTAGGATGCTCCAGCCTGCTTCAGTTTTGATCACCAGGAAGAAGAGGAAGAGGAGGAGGAGGAGGAGGAGGAGGAGGAGGAGGAGGAGGAGGAGGAGGAGGATTCCAGCGATTCCAGCAAACCCGGGTGAACGTGTGCAAGCACGGCCCTGGCACGGTCAGTTTCGGGGCTGGGAAGGACATGCCGTACTTAGGGGGCTTACCTTCCGCCAGCCTGTCGAGGTTGCGTCTGCCATTTGCAGACGGCTCGGGAGGGCAAGGTTGGGTAAGCTTCTGTGCCGGGCTGGCTGCGAAACTCCCACATCCTCGACAAAACGAAACACCTTTGAATTCGGCCAGAACGTGCGTCGGATGCGCAGCCGCCGAAGGGCCCAAGTCAGTCGCAACAA